TGGCCATTCCCTGCTATATGTTACTACTGCTACAGAAATAAATTCGAACGAAACAGCTTAAGCTGACCAATTCATCGAACGGTAGACTTCTAACAACGATTGTAATTATTTATTAATTATATCTTACGGACCCACATTATAATATTTAATTTTTTTATTAATTATGTCTATGCAGGTGTTGATAAGTTTTATGGAGATTAGAGATTGTCAAGACTCAGTAGGACCAGTTCAGAACTCAACCGGGGGAAGAGAGAGGTGAAAGGTTTAACTCACAATGGGTCGGTATATAATAGGAAGGAAAAGAAGAAACAGTTGAGTCAAGAGGAACTGAGTTTGGGTGACTCGGACGAGTCGGTGAATTTGCAGCTGGAAGGCTGTTCAGAGACGAGTTTGGTTACTGAGTTAGGGTCGAGTTCAGACAGTACTCAGTTGGACCGGTCAAGAAGGTTGGGTTCTTCTCTTGGAAGAGGAGGCGGTTGAGCTTTATTAGACCGGCGAGAACGAAAGTAGAACCGTTGACTAGGAAGAGCAGCGATGAGAATACGATTGATTTGGACCACAATCCACCGGTTCTTACTCCATTGACTCCACCATCGCCGGTTCAACAAAGGTATTGTTTATTTTATTTCTTGTTCAAATTTATGCACTTGTGTGCCCTTTCCTCTTGATAGTTGCAATTAAGGTGGGACAAATTTTCAAAAAATTGAGGTTAATGGTTGACTTAAACGACTCTGATTATAATTTGAACTTATATCTAAATGTTCTTGAATATTTGTTCCTCCAGAAACCAGACGCCATTGGACCTTCTTCTGAATCAGATCACCAGGGTGAAACTAGCACGACCTGTGATTGGGAAATGAAGGAGATATTCAGTAGAGATAGTCAAACAAAGCTCAAAGCAGTGTCTTCTTCGCTTCCTTCGATCAACGCAGCGACGAGGCCGCTGGAGAAAGCGCTTGCACAGCACTAGTCGCCGTCATAGCTCACTGGCTCCAATCAAACCAACATGAAACCCCAACAAAATCACAATTCGATAGTCTCATCATACAAGGTTCCTCCGAGTGGCGAAAACTCTGCGACAAGGACGCCCACAAAACCATTCCCCAACAAGCATTTTGATCTCGAAACTGTTCTAAATGCTGATCTTCGGCCGGTCGCCGTTTTGCCTCAGAAATCATTCGTTGGGTTTTTTGGTGCTGAAAAGTTCGAGGCCTTGAAAGGTGCTATGTCTTTTGATGAGATATGGAATGAAATTGACAGAAATATAGGAGAGAATGATGGGCCAAGGGTTTATATAGTGAGTTGGAATGACCATTTCTTTGTGCTGAAGGTGGAGGATAAAGCTTACTATATCATTGACACATTAGGAGAAAGACTCTTTGAGGGATGCAATCAAGCTTTTGTATTAAAGTTTGATGATTCAGCCTTGATGCATGAAATAAAAGAGAGGGAAAAGATCAGGAGAGAGAATGGTGGTCCTGAGGAGGAAAGTGATGAGATGATTTGCAGTGGAAAAAGAGTGTTGCAGAGAATTTATTAAGAGATTTCTTGCAGCTATACCATTAAGAGAACTGGAAGAGGAAGAGAAAAAGGAGGCAGTTTCTATTTCTCTCTCCATCAGAGGTTGCAGATAGAGTTCAATTTTAGCTACTCTTTGTGTTCATTGTCATCTTCATCACCATCTTCTCAGTTTTCTGGTTCTGTTTCTTCTTCAACATCCTCTCACTTCTCAAATGAATTGTGTATTTGAATGTTTGTGTATACATTTTTGGGAATAAGTGTAATTGATTAGTTTAGGCTTTGTATCATATGTGAATTTTTTGGAGCATTGGCACTAATTAGATGGTTCAATTGAACAAAAGTTGAAGTCTCTCTAAATCTTTGAATTTCTCTGTGTTTTTAATAGGAGGATATAGGGTTGAAAAAGTCCACCGTTCTCGAAAGAAAAAAAGGGTAAAATACATTCGGTGCCTCAAGTATGGATTTTATGTTAGTTTGGTCACTATTTTTTTAATTGTGTGTCAATTTAGTACCTCAATTTCTCAATTTATATCACTTTGGTTCAATCGAAAATAGCAATTCAAATTAACTAACAGAGATGTTCACTTGACCAAACTAAGGGGGTCACTTTGGCGCTTTACCTTTGTAACTTGTGTCATTTTAGTTTTTTAAGTTTACAGTTTTTTGTCACTTTAGTCCCTAAAGTTTCAAAGAATACGTCTCAAGTGTGATCACATGAGACGCACATGACAATCTCTGTCAGTAAATTCCAACCGTCGTTTTTGATTGGACAAACGTGACTCAAATTAAAAAATTGAAAGACCAAATTAACACAATTAAAAATTTGGGGACCAACTTGACACAAAGCACATTGTTTGGAGACCAAAGATATATTTTATCAAAAAAAAAAAATTTGATTTTATCCGATTGAATTACAATTCAGATCAAAGTTAGGTTTAATGAGAGTTTTACGATGGAATTCTATTGAATTATGACTCATTCCTATCGAAATAACGATTAATGGGATTTAAAAAATTGAAATCTATTCTAAAAGGTTAGGATCGAAAAATAATATCGTGTATCTGACCATTCACTAGAGAAGGAGAAAGATCGAATTTAGTATCTTTTCATTGCATTCTTTAGGGCTCTTTCCACTTGATTTGTACATTCCGCAAGGTGCTTCCAAACATTTTTCTTGTCATTACAAAATCTGTATGTTTTTTTTATCAAGAAACTTGAATTTTCATTCAACTAGCAAAGTGTGGATAACAGTAAAATGTCAAAATGGCCCTAGGCTCAGATAGGTGATTTGAAACCCAATTCTGAGTTAAAGAATGGGTAAAGAAGGGGCAGCTTTGTTTGTAGTTCTACACCGATATACCAGGTTTAGGCTGAGTACTCAAGCTATTGCTATGATGTCTTCAACAAAGTTTGCAATTTCCCATGGCGGACCATCCTCTCTTGTACAGAGTAAAATGAGACTTTGATAATCACTCTCTATTGTAGTATGGAAGCATTGGAGAGTAACGACCACCAAACAGGCTCCTCGAACAGCGGCGACCTCTGAATAGATGGCTGATACCACAGGAACAAGTTTGGATATTCCCTCTCTTAGCACGTCGTTAGAATCTCTGCCAATGACACCAATTGAAGCAAGTTTGGAGCTAAGCTTAAAGGTGAATTTTATCAAACTCAGTGGCGGCAGATGCCATTGCTGAGCTAGATACCGGTCCTGCTGTACTGGAGTACGGATGTTACTCTGTTTCTTGGAGTGGATAAGGGATTGTTCTCCCAGTTAAGTTGAGCTCTGTGGATCGCCTCTTTCGGACCTGGAGGTAGATATTGGAAAATTGTTTCATTCCTCATCTTCCAAATGATTCAGCCCATAGTAGCCTCTTTGCCGAGGACATCAAGTGCCTGATTACAATCATCTGTTGCTTCCAATAGCTTCTGATGGTGTGCAGAATGCGGCTGAGTAGAGTATATATGCTATGAGGTCCGATCTGAGGTACAAGGCTCTAGGGAATAATGTGACTACTTCAGGGGAAAAAGGGTAGATTGCACAGAAGAGTTATAGTGGTTCACTAGTTCAAGAGTTCGGTTAATCCACTCTTCAAGAGAGTCTCTTATTTCTATGAATTATATTAAAAATGGGAAAAATTACGTAGTCTTCTCAATATTGCTTTTTTTTTTGTTGCTCCCCCAATGGGAGGGTCTTGTACGGTATTTATAGCTTAGTTCCCAGATCTTCCACCATCTCTTGCAATGCTCTTCTTGATTTCAGGCGATAGTTTAGGCGGTTGAGGTTCTTGCGCCTAGACTGGCGTTTACTACTGTTGAGGGAGCGTTTAGTGATTGTCAGTTGTTTTCTACTCATGTTCGTTGAGGTGCAAGTCGAGAGAGCCCAAAGTTTGAACCACCGAGCTCGAGCTTTATTGGCTAAGCTCCCTTCCTAACCTCAATGGTTGAGCTCAAACTTGAATTTTTCTAGGTATCATCAGCTTCAAAGTCAACTTTTGGATTGATCAAAATTGTTGTCAGATCGGCCTAATCCCCAGATCGCTGCCAAACCATGCCAACTAAGTCCAATCACAAAAAAAAAGACACGTTCAATTGATTCCACCTCCTTACAACAAATTGCGCAGATAGGAGATGTCACACAATTCCTGAGAAATAAATTTTCTTAAGTAATTAGAGTATTGAAACAGACACTCCACCAAAAGTGCCTCGTTTTTGGCAATGTTTTCAACCACCATATCATCTTCCACAATTTGGCATGCCTTGTTGAAAAGCTACCCTTTGCTTTTCATGCATGTTTTCCCCATTCTTGGACATCTCATACCTGAAACTCACTGTGTAACTCTCTTTAGGATTAGGATACTAGATGCTGTTATTTGTCCCTGCAACTTTAGATATGGGTATGGCCTCGATAGCCTCCCATTCATTAGAATTAACAACAGGTTTAATCATATCTGCCCTTCATTCCCCTATTTGCTTGTTGATTATATTTATAAAATCTGGGTAAATTTAAATTTTTTTCGAAAAAGGGCAACATGATTATTTGCCACTATAATGTGGAATTAAAATCCGTATTTTTTCTAGAGCTCGGATGATGCAACAGACCTTACCGTTGGATTCATATCGCAAAATCGAGTTGCTTAGTTAATTTTTATCAAATTTCGAGATAGTCAGATTTTTTACGTTTTTTGAGACAATTGGGAGTCGAATGACCTCACAAACGTCTCAAAAAATAAAAATTATAAAATTTTCTTATAATTGAAGGAAAGTTCAAATAAAATTAATTTGAACTTAAACCAAGATGAAATTAATTCGTTTCGGGATAAAAACGGACTCGAAAATAAAAAACGTGCAGTGCAATGTGGACCGCACAATTAAAGGGTATAAATAGGGAGAAATATCTGATTTTCTCCCTAATTTCATCAGACTTCACACGTTAGAAGAGAAAGAGAGAGAGGAGAGAAAAGAAAAAAAATAAGATTTCTACCTTATTTCTCTAATCTATGGAGTTTCGACGGTCGGAATCCCATGGACCAAGAGTTAAAGTCGATCACCGCAACGAGGGCTACGCAGCCATACCAGGAACGAAAGATTTCACCGAAGATCCAAAGAGGAGATTTTAGAGAAATCAAGATTTTGGGGGTTTGAGAGGTGTTCTTGGGCTTGGGAGGTTTTCTTGAGGTTCTACTCTTCGTATTCCGCTTCAAGAGGTAGGGTTCCCTCCTATTTTAGTTTATTTCCATCTTATGGTGTCCATAGAGAGTGGTTAGGTGTATAGACTTGCCTATCGTCGTGGAAATGAGGGAATGCGTATAGAAATGGATAGAATACATTCTATTTTGAATTAGGTATGTAGAAATTACCTATGGTGATTCTTGTGTTATGTGATGAAAAGTGGGCATGTTATGCTTTTACAAAAATATATGCCTTGAATGATTGAAGGGTTATTTTGATGAGATTGAAATAACATGCTTGGATGTTATGGTAAATTGAAATCATACACTTATGATGTGATACACTATTGAAAATGTAAGTGTTGAAATGTGATAGAAATAATTCATGTAACATTCATTACATATGGGTATGATATGGATATTGAAATTGCTCATTTGACATTCATTGCATATTGGGCATGACTTTGGCATCATATTCATGGACATTAAGTATAAGTGTAGGTGTGTGGTTGCATGGTTTAATCGATCACCATACTTGGTGGTTGATAAGTGGACTCGGCAAGGTTGAATCGAAGATCCCGTTGAGTCACATGGTTGCATGAAAAACTTATGTCGGGTATAACAAGAAGGGATGGATTCTACCTCGAGTGAAAGATCTGGCTACTTGGTTCATACATTCCCTTGTGGTGCAATTCCAAAAAAGTGTAATGTCGTATAGAACCAGCGATGTGATTCCAAAATCCGATACCCAATAAATACACGTGGTTTTGTTTTATAAAGTATTCATTCGATGGGAAACATCCAACAATGTTTCGGTTTATAAACACATGACTTTATTTCAATAAATCATTGGATGTGTTTTATCAATGACAAATGAATTACACACGTGCATTGCATTGTGTTGTGGGAGTCGGTGAGGACTTGGGTTAAGGTGCATGAGTGAGTATCACCTCATATCATGACATAGTAAAAGTTTTCATCTTGAATGACATTTTCTTGTATGGAATGAATTATGATTGTTATTTGTTGCATGTGCACATTTCATATGCATCTAGAGGGAGAATAGCCTCTGTAGGAAATACTCTATTGAGCGTGGCTCACCCCATACAAGAAAACATTTCAGGCGCGAGGTTCACACCGGCAGATGACTCTCATTTCGAGCCTCAAAGATGAAGAGAGCCGACTTGTGGCTTTTGATAGCTCATTTTGTATAACTTTTGTGAAATTTATATTTTTGGGTATGTAATCGTATGGAATTATCGGTAATAGAACTTGTATATAATAAATTTGATGTGAAAAAACTTATTAACCATGTTTTGGATGATATTAAAATAGATTGGAATGGATTGGAAATGAAAAGTAGGTGAAATAGGTAAAAGTGGGCAAAGAGTACCGGTACGACGAGGTCCAGTGGGTTAACTGTACCGGTGCCAATTTGCCACTATAATGCAGAATTAAAATTCATATTTTTTTTAGAGCTCGGATGACGCAACGGACCTCACCGTTAGATTCGTATTGTAAAATCAAGTTGCCCAGTCAATTTTCATCAAATTTCGAGATAGTTGAATTTTTCACATTTTTTAAGACAACTGGTGGTCGGATGACCTCACAAACATCCCCAAAAATGAAAATTATAAAATTTTCTTATAATTGAAGGAAATTTCAAATAAAATTAATTTGAACTTAAATCGGGATGAAATTAATTCATTTCAGGATAAAAATGGACCCGAAAATAATAAACATGTGGTGCAATGTGGACCGCACAATTAAAGGGTATAAATAGGGAGAAATATCTGATTTTCTCCCTAATTTCATCAGATTTCACACATTAGAAGAGAAAGAGAAAGAGAAAGAGGAGAGAAAAGAAAAAAAATAAGGTTTCTATATTCTTTCTTCGATCTACGGAGTTCTGACGGTCGGAATCCCTCTGACCAAGAGTTAAAGTCGATCACCGCGATGAGGGCTGTCACACCCCCACCTCGGATCACATAGGGTGAGCAGAGGACCGGCCACCAAGGCCTTAACCAACCATCCTTGTGCATAATTAATGCAAAATACAGCGGACGACAAATAATAAAGTGATATTTTTCACCGACCTAATGAATACCAGAGAAATAAACTAACATTATCGACATTATTACTAAACTCATGTAAAACAATAATTAATCCATAAGGCTACTCTAAGCAAAAAAATATTGTTCGCAATTCTTCCCCCACCAAAACCGTCTCACGAGAGAGGTAAGTTTATCAAACATCTTCTTAGGGAAAGCTAAATAGGACATTGCATAGCTTGGGATAGATTGAACCACCGCCTTAATCAGGACTTCCTTACCTGCTTGGGATAAATACGGCTCCTTCCATCCCTGAATTTTCTTCATAATCCTCTCCACTAGGTAGTTAAAAGTTTGAGATTTAGCTCTTCCCCAAAAGGAATGAATGCCCAAGTATTTGGTTGAGTTTGGTAGTGATTCAATTCCCAAAACTTCACTCAAATAGCTTCATTATTTCGCGGGATTGTTTTTTTAGAAGAAAAATCCCGATTTCTGAAAATTATTGAGTTGCCCCGATGCCAAACTGTAACGGGATAATGTGCATCTTAGATTACACCCTTCCTGTTCGTTGGCCTTGAGAAAAAGGAGAGAATTGCCAACGAAAAAAAAAGTGGGAGAGAATAGGCTTTTTCGTTTAATCTTCAAACCGAAAATTCGCCATTCATGTAGATCTCTGTAGATATGTTTGGATAGCACATCAGCAACAAGAAGGAAGAGGTGAGGGGAAATTGGACCCCTTGCCTCAAGCCTCTTTGTGGCTTGACCCTTCACTTCACGGTCCCATTAACCACCACTTCGAATTGAACTGTAATGGCACATTGGAGAATTAGATTGACCCATATTGAGTTAAAGCCCAGCCTTAACAAAATTGCTTCAAGAAAGTCTCATTCAACTCTGTCATATGCTTTGTTTAGATCAAGCTTTATGGCCATGGATTTTTCTCTCCCCTTTCTAATTTTTAAAGCATGTAAAGCTTCCTTTGCTAAGAGAATGTTGTCTTGGATTTGATGATGTGGAACAAAAGTTATTAGCTAAGACATTAGAGATGATCTTTTATGGGAAGCTATAGAGGGTCATAGGGTGAAATTGATTCATAGATTTTGGAGTTGGTTCTTTCGGGATT